ACACATATATGTATATATATGTGTGTGTATGTGTATGTGTACATGTATATATATATATATGCATATGCAGTGTCACAGACAGACAGACACACAAACACACACATAGTGGACACTTAACAAATGTTCGTAGAATGAATACATATCCAGAAAAGGTCACCTGAGTGAAGTTTTACTATTAATATATGCTTCTTTTAAGATATATCCCATGCATAAAATGATACATTGCTTTAGGATCAAACAAACTATCAAAAAGACTTCACTAGAAGCAACATTATTGGCTTTTAGAGAGAGCAAGGGTTTTCAAGATTATCTCAGCTTGAGCATCATTATTTAAAGTGAGAAGAATCACAGGTGGCAAGTTATTCCATTTACTTTTTAAAAATAAACAACTAAAGATTTCTTATCCATCACTCAGAGAGTGAAGACACTAATTTTTATTTTATTGGAACCATCATAATTTGGGGGATATAAGTTAACTGACCAAAGAAAGAAACAGACGAGTGCAGACCATCCAACTACCCATTGTGATAATTTTGTTCCAGAGGATCATAGTTGGGTGTTCATGGGAACAGGGTTTCACTAACAGGAACACTCAAATCTAGCTGCTGGACCCTTGGGTTTTTATCACGGTGGAGTAAAATGTGTGTGCACCCTCTAGTCTTAAGTGTCATTTTGCTCAAATACTTTGGATGCCAGAAAGATAGTTAAGACAAGATTTGTTGTTGCTTTTTTGCTACTAGGTTAAACATGTGAATTAAATTCTGATGCTTCAATGTTCAAGTGATAAGGTTATTAGGTAGAATCCCTAGGGATTCTTTGCAAGTAACAGAGTTCAGAATTTAAAATTAATAGGTACATGTAAAAATAACACATAAAAAGTCTCCCAATATAAATCTCTTATTTTGATATGAAACAGTTGATTTCAGCTATACTAAGCTACTGCAAGCTGTTCTACAAAATAATTGATAGATTGTTGCAGAAAGAAAATTAGGTGAAAGAAATAAAGCTAGAGTCCACAATGATATTTATAATATCTTTCAGTCAAATTCAAACTCATAGCAATTTATGTAAAAATATTCTATCAAAATTTATCACAAAAATTCAGCAAACACTTAAAAATACTTCTAGTTTTAGGTTTCTTTTCAAGGTTTGTTTCTGCAGATGAGTGGACCGAATTGCTAATTGGATTTAGAGAGCCAAAAATTTGTTTGATTGGAGTTGATACAAACAAAATAAATCTAACTGTGTGGTTTCAATATGTTTTTACTTTCTTAAATGACTCAGTGGGTGATATTTACATACATTCTCCCATTTTTTCTTATAGTGTACATTAAACCACATTTGCAAATACTTTGATCTTAAACTCATATTTTGAAATGCTTGAATGAGTATATGGCTAGCTACTACATTAAATAGCAATATATTTATAAGAACTAATTAATTCATGTCATAAAAATAATTTGGAAAACATGTATAGAAGATGAAATGCTTCTATAACCACAGTTGTCCATGAACAGATTTTGAGACACTATTGTCTAAACTATTTCTATTATGTTTTTATAAATTTATACAAATTAAAATGTCAATGAAATAATTATAGATGGCATTCTACCACAATATGAAGTGTGCCCATCCTTCTAGAAATTTACTAATATGAAATGTGCGCATCCTTTTAGAACTTTATCATCATTGTATTATTCTCACCATCTTCAGAGAAAAGGCCACCTTTTCAAAGGGATTTTTCTAATTAATATTTTATTTAACATTTAACTTTTTTACCTTCTAAAAATGCTTTGATTGGTCCTTTGAAATTGTTTTCTCTTGCTATCTTAATTTATGAAAGAGGATGTTGAAACACAGGGGTATTCAAGGTACATATACAAATTCCTGACAAAGTATGGATTGGCTCTTGTGGATGAGCCAAGAGTAAAACCAAGAAAACATTAAAAATAGTTGTTTCATTTAGAGCTACAAGAAATTACAATACAGATAGTAAACAACAACAGCATGTTCAGAATCAAAACACAGCTTTTCTTGGGGGGAAATTTTATAGCACAATTAGGAGTACGTTATTTTCTCACAATGCAGTAGACTTTATTGCAATTTATGAGATTTATACCTGAGAGGCATTTTAAATGGACAAAGTTCTCTTACTATTATCATTATTACCATGCAACCATGATAGAAAAGAAACCTTTTAGAATTCAGCAAGAAGAATAGAAAAGTTTTCTAATTTCTTTAAAATGACAAAAAAAAAAAAAAAAGTCCACTTCCTTTAGCAAGAGCTAATTTACGGCTTATTCAAAGAGTTTATCCAAAGCACCCAGGTGTGCTGATTTTCTTCTTAGAAACCAGCTAAGCATCTGAAACGGGTCAGTGTGCTTTAGGCACTCAATTGCCTCCTCCAGACTTAGTCTTTTAAGCACAGGTGCTAAGTGGAGGGTCTTTCTGAGCCTTACTCACCCTCTGACAGGAACTTGGCAATCCAGGCAGTTCTTAGAATTGGCTGCTCTGTGGGATTCAGCGTGAGTTATTTACAAAGCTTCAGTTGTTCAGGTCAAACAACTCAAACTCTCAATGTAAGGGTGGGAGTGGGAGGGAGGGCAATGGGAGCCAGAGGTAAAGTGACTGTATTGCTTAAGAAAGAAGAAAGATTCTTCTTGGATTCTGTAAAAACCATTTAAAAATTTCGTATACATTTAATAGCTACAACTTCAATAATTTTTTGGACTCTCTCAGAAATAAGCCTGAGTGATGTATAGGCTTTTAATTAATATTTCCCAGAATAATATATACATATTTCAAGTATTTTTTTTAAGCTTCTCTCTTCTACAAAGTGATGACAGGAAGTAAATACTCTTGTTATTTCCTCTTATATTAAAGTCTGGCTTCTTTAGACTTCAGTAATACAACATGTGTCTTTTTTTTTTTTTTAAATTTTTCACTTTTACAAGTGCTAATACAGTTGAGGAAGGAAACTGAAGACATCTAGTCCCGTGCCTGTAAATATTAAGGCAGAATCTCTGAAATACATTTTAGTTTTTATTTTTATAATTGAATACTAAAGTTATTCCTATAAACAAACCTCCAAATTGGCAAGTTGACTATTAGAAATCAAATCATATAATTATGCAGTTAAACTATATGTAACAAACTAATCAACAAAAAATTGTATTACCCATGTCTGGCCGAACTAATGTATTATAGGCAAATATGAGCAAGCATTTCTAAAACCACTAGATGGCATTCATTCACTGCAATTTTGGCCAAAGAGACTTTAAAGCTTTATCATGATCTGCAAGGTTGGGGAAAGGCAAATGTTTTCCATTATTTGATGATATTTTCCTATCATTTAATACAACAACAAAACTCAGTTTTATCTTTTCTTGGTTGCTTCAAATCAAATCAACAAATATTTATTGAAATCTTTATTCAAGGATTTTTCTGTTATGAGGAGAGTTGAATGAAAACCATCTCCATTGGGGTAGTAATGTATTTACTTACAATACCTAGCAGAAAATATATACAGAATACTGCTATATACAGTATTCAACTGACTTTCTTGTACTTTATTTCTTTAGTAATTTATGTTGCTATTTCTCATGTAGCACTTCTCTAAAGTAAGTGTGCCTCTAAAAAAAGGCACAGTCACAAATTTAGAATGTTTGTAATAGTTTTAGATGGCAATAATCTTCAACATTAATATTTTTGAAAACCTGAGGCCAAGAGCTCTTAATGACTCACATAGGGTCCTTTATTTTTCAAGTCTTTAAGAATATATGAGAAATAGCTTTCTAAATACATTGAGACTTAAGAATCAAAAAGGTCTTTGGTGATGAAACATTGTGATTTGGTCTTGAAGATAAATCATGGAAGGAAAACTCTCAAACTTCACACTCCAAACCAAAAAGTTGGGAGCAGATGTTGATGGGGACAAGTCAATAAAAGGTTAATTTTTTTTGTATAGGGTCTAGGTTAAAAATATAAAATCTAGGGCTTACCTGTTCTAATATGTTTTGAAGTCTTTCTATCTCACAGTCTATTACAAACTTCTTCTCTTGTCTTCTATCAAGTTCTTCTAGAAGTTGCCTATAGCTGACATCATTAAAATTTTCCACACATATAGCGCTGACATGCCAACCATTTTGTCCTGCTTTTTCCATAATAGCTTGGAGTATCGAGTATCCTATTGGGGGAAAAAAAGTTACTAAAAACATGCTCTTACTCCCATATAATGACTTATACAGGCACTGAGCCTGTATCAACACTGCTATGTTCCAAAATATACTGAATGCTTAGAAACTTAAAGTCTGCGTGGTTATTTCTGAATAATTTGTTTACTCAGGGGAACAAAATCTCTGAAAATAGAGACTGAATGAAGTAGCAATACCATAACTTGTGTAAGCTCTCAAAATCTCTTTACTGGAGAACATTGCATTGCTCTAGACACATTTTTGATGAGACAAACCCCAAACCAAATCTATCACCACCTGTAGTCAATAGCAATTTCATAAACTCTTTTTGTTATTTTACTCACTAGATGGAGCTCATTTTGAACAACTGTTTGACTTTCTCCTTGAGCAAGGTAGCACAACATTTTTGGTTCAACTATGGAAGAGAAGACGTAAAAGAAACAGTACAACAGTATTTATTGAGGACCCATTATTCTTGGTGCCTTATTTGGCGATGAGGACACGTGCATATTGGAGAGGTATTATTTAACTCTTTCTCTCTCCGCAGGGGAATGATATAGATTGGGGATCAGTTGAATGACCACTAGGTGAGGCACTGGTGCTCCTAATCTGATGTAAGAGAATGATATCCAAATAAACAACAGAAGTTTAGTTTTAAAAAGTGTGTAGCAGGACTCAAGGTAAAGTGTTGGCCCAAGGGAAAGCTTAGTTCCAGCTGTCTGGATGGAACAAGTTAAAATTCCACAAAGGAGAAACAACTTGTATTGGGCCTTGAAGGTTGAGAAGGAGCATGCAAGACTGCTGAAGGTGGGGGCGTTTATTACATGAAGAAAACTTTCCATGAGATAATAAAATGAATGGTTTCCAGCTGTTCTTGAACTAGATATCTCTGCATGTGGAAGGGAAGGCATCTGGTCCAAGCACCTGGTGTCAGGCAGGAGCTCTGAACTCATAATTCCTGCATTTGGACTATATCTTCAGTCCAACATTGTCTTGATTTTCCTGCTTTTTTTCCATCTGTCATTTATTTTTATTTTATTTTTTGAGATGGAGTCTTGCTCTGTTGCCCAGGCCGGAGTGTAGTGGTGTGATCTTGGCTCACTGCAACACTCGCCTCCTGGGTTCAAGTGATTCTTCTGCCTCAGCCTCCCAAGTAGCTGGGACTACAGGCACAAGCCACCATTCCTAGCTACTTTTTGTATTTTTAGTAGAGATGGGGTTTCACCATATGGGCCAGGCTGGTCTTGAACTTCTGACCTTGTGATCCGCCAGCATTGGCCTCCCAAAGTGCTGGGATTACAGGCGTGAGCTACCTGTAGATGGGGCACCTGGCCCCATCTCTCTTTTTTGAATTGTAACGTGAGGGAAGAAATAAAAAAATTATTTGAATTAATAAATATCCCGTAAACTAAGATTGGTTATCATCAGAGCTGGTTAGTCAGTTATATTTTCACTTTATGGTTTAGCATAAACAAAATATTCTAGTCCTCTTTAAGAAAGTCTAACACTTATTTGAGCTAATTCTATAGCAACTGTCTGTAGTTTCCTCTTCCTGTGATCCTGGAATTGGGGCAGAGAGCTGGGTGGATTAAAACTGAAGATTTAAAACAAATATAAAGCACCTGCAAGATAAGGGAATATTTCTTCAGTTTTCTAATTGGTATGTGAGTCTCACAGATTCAGGGATTTTAAATTTTTTTCAGGTATGTTTTCTACACATAAGAGTTCCAAACATTACTGATGCTCAGTTCATATCAACAGATGGAACTGATGATGAGATCATATTTGAAATATAAATTACCTGATATCCTGCCAAATGAAATACTGTGGCAGTCAGGATTCATTTTTAGCTAAACGAAAAAAATTCCCCGAAGGGGAAGAAAGAATTCATGTTAATTACTATATAATTATTCTGGTATATCCATTGCCCCATTTAGTCTTTCCTTTTGTAATGGTGCCAGTAATTATCTTTTCAAATCTTACTTAGATCCCCCGACCCAGAACCCTGGCACTCTTTCTCTTGTTTCCTATTCAATGTATACGTAATGTGATGATATGAAACCTTCCTTAATACATATGTCCATGCCTCATTTATTCTGTCGCTGGGGCTTGTGCTCTGATAGTAACTGAGACAATGTTCTTTTAATTCATTTTTTGACACCTATGAACATGTTCTTTGACTTAAAATGAATGCTTTTAAAAATACTAATTAACGTATTACTTTTCTTTTTTTCTCCTTTTACTTACCATCATAACAGAATAATGTTAAGATTTTTTTGTTTGCTTGAGTGTTGTAAAAATAATAAAAATGGCCCCCACACATAGCAATAGTTTTCTCCTTGGGCTCAATTCACAGCTTGGCACCATTCTCTAAATACTGCTGCGTTTTTGGCGTCATGTGGCTGTCAGGCTTCATGTCAGGACTAGGCATCCATGTTGTTTTTCTCCTGCTGACATGACTTTTACAAAATGTGAAGGCACATACCTTCTGATGAAATTTAAATATATATTTCCACTTACCTTACAAAATTGAAGTAGTCACTCTAAAAACAAAATTATAATTCAAATACAGCCTTCCATTATCTGATTTTTTTGATTTACAAATGACCCTAGAATTGGAATCAAACAGAACCCTAGGACACAATCTTTGTTGAATGGCAAAGAAAGTTGGTTACTTAAAAAGCCCCATTAATCATGGTCAGAAATAAATGGTATCCTTTCATTGCAGTTCAAAGGACATGCAGTAATAGTTTCAGAGCTTGACTAAAATCATATTCTTTTATAAGTTGTGTTTGATTCTAATATGCTCTTTTATTATTCATTGCTAGGAGAAAATACTGCTGTTGAATCTATGATTATATAACTTAGTTGTTATATAAACTAGAAAATCACAAGTCAAGTCATACTATTTCCACACTTGGCTATGATTTGTATCTCTCAGTTATTAGAAAATCTGTAGTACAATATTGTTGGTCAAAAATGAATACTGCAGTTTTGGGTGAATAATCATGTAGTTAACAGGAAATTCACTACTGTAAAAAATATTTTAAATTTTACTTCTACTCTAAAAAGCTGTCCAACATTTAAATTCAATATAATTTACTGAAAAGCTACTACATCCAGAATTCTTTAGAGTATATCAAGATAAAGATGTGGGAACTGGACAACATTATGTGAAGTGAAATAAGCCAGGCACAGAAAGGCAGGCTGTACATGTTCTCCCTCATTTGTGGAAGCTAAAAGTTAAAATAATTGAACTTATGGAGATAATAGAATGATGGCTACCAGAGGCTGGGAAGGATAGTGAGGGAGGAGGGAAATGGGGATGGAAATGTGGATTCACTTTTAATCCACCCAGCTCTCTACCCCAAAGTATAGTTAGATGGGATAAATAAGATGTAGTATTTGATAGCACAATAGGGTGACTAAAGTCAACAACAATTTATCGTACATTTTAAAATAACTTTAAGAGTATAATTAGAATGTTTATAACATAAAGAATAAATTATTGAGGTGGTGGATACTCAGTTATTCCTATGTGATCATTATGCATTATATGCCTGTATCAAAATATTCCATGCACCCTATAAATGTAAACAACTACTATGTACCTATAAGAACATTTTTAAAAAGATAGGTAATATGAAATACAAAGGTGGAAAAAAAAGATGTGATTCTTGTCTTTACAAGGAATTTACTTTCTAGCAAAACTGATAGGTAAACTATCCATTATGCAAAATACAAAGTATTGTATAAATACATTCAAAGTAGTAGTAGAGCATATCATTGATATAATCATTTTATTAGATTATGATAGTAATTAAGGGCTTTTTCATAGTTACTAAAGAACACTGTCAATTACATATAAAATATTAAGTGCTATGATATCACATAAAGATTTTATCAATTATGTTAGATAGAATCAAATGAGGTAAGCAGTCCTGTGCTACTGTCCCCTCATGTGTCAACACTTTTTACATCATCTGTAGATAATGACCTATTTTGGATGAATACCAATTTGGAGATGTCACTCCTCACAACAATATCTGGGCTAATTTATTTGATATTTTCTTTTGCCAGAGTTATTTAACTGTTGGCACACAGAGCAATAGAAAGAAGCAGAATAAATTTGTGCCAGGGAAGAAATTATTTAGAAAAGAAGGAGTTATCCCTCTTTTGTTCTGAAAAAACTTTACTTGGATGACAACTAAAAAGTGTCCATTGTACTTTTCAATGAGAAGGTTGTTGGTGTACTTAACATGAGCAGGGTTAATGGAATGCTGTATATAAAAGGCATTTTTCAAATTGAGAAATTGAGGAGAAAAGGGGAAGAGGTGAGAACGTGGAAATAATCAAGAAATATCATCAGAATAATGAATTAATAAGATGAAGGGGATACCATTTTGATGAATATGGGATAGAGAAACATCTAGATTATGGGAACTGGTTTTCAAAGGAGAAGACTAGGTCTGTCCCACGGGGGATTGTTGAGCCTGAAGAGGAAACATGGCAAGGGGGATGGCAGCAGTTTGTAGTTAACTTAAATTAAAGCCTCCCTCATTAATCTTGTAAATTGCTATGGAGGTACTTGCTACTACATCATCAATTTCTCTGATCTGGCACAATTTGTCAGTGTCCAAAACTAGTGGATTCACAGAGAAAGGTGTGCATGTCTGTGTGTGTCTAATGCCATGTATTGATTTGAGTCACAGAAAGAAATAAGATTCTGTAATCCTCACTGCATTTAATGCCACCATGCTGGAACTGTAGAGTAGATTTAATAACCGTTTAGTTTGGATTATTTCCAAAGCAGCTTAGTACTGAAATAACATGTTCAAAGGCCACAGTCTGGACCCCCAGGTTTTAGCATATGGAGGAATAACCAACACTGTAGCTTGGGTAAAATTATCTGCAGCTGTAACTATAGTATTTATTTATGCCATGGTTCAAAAAGGGCATACTAAAAATAAGCAAAGATTTTCCTACTTCTACA